AGTGTGACGTCGTGACCCTGCCGCCCGCGCAACGCGGCTGGATGTGGGGTGCGCCCAGCGCAAGGCAAAGGATGAAGCCGAGGTCGAGCTGTACGAGGAGCAGATCGGCCTCTGGGAAAGACTGTACATGAAGGTGCAAGAGGAGCTGGTGGACTGGAAGCCGCTGTACGAGGCGAGACAGGCAAAGCTGAAAGCGGCGGAGGACGCGAAGCAGTGGGCAGCCGTCCGAGTCGCCGGCACAGCAGCCTCGGGCGTCGGAAACTTGCTGGCAGCGCCGTTTGGGGCCATCAGGAGGTGGCGCACCAGCAACCCTGATGCCGAGGCGGCTGTCGCCCAGACCATTCTGTACAACGCTGTGTGGGGATATCACGACCTGGTCGTTTGGCTGAAGGGTGATGTTCGAAAGCTGTTCCCATGATGGGCGAGGCTGCCAGTGGCCGGAAAGCTTGGAGCTTGGACGACGAATCGTGTGTCTTTTGCCTAGGTTGCTTCTGAAGCGCGAGTAACAATGATATCATTCGTCGATCTTGTGTACTGAAAGTTGGCCTTTGTAGGTGCAGATTTCATTCTCCATCCTCTTTCCACAAAAACTCAAGTGTGGCTTCTATGTTCAATGTAACGCGATCGTCAGAGACTCATGGCGTATTCATAATTGACGAAAATGGCCTGTTGCTGTATCGTGTTATATGCCGCATACAAGTACACACCATGCACTCTTGAGCCCATGCTGCTCACTCCATGTACACAACATCGATCGTCAGGATGCCGTGTAGTATTCAGCGAGCCCGCTCATGGCCAAGACCATGCCATGAGGTTGGTGAAGCCAAAGGAGGAAGGCGATGATGACATCTCATCCCATCAACATGCCAAGCCGTGCTGCTACACATGAGGCACCATCAAATGATCAGCTGATCAACCATATCGCGCTTGTCGAGCGAGCACCAGAATAGGGAGAGTCCGGTGAAAGACACTCAGAACTGCCATGCCCATGCCCTCACCCAAGCTACAACACAGTGTGTCGGCGACGAGGCTAACATGACAGGCCACTCCTTGTATATGTATCATGCCGCATCCTCTTGCAGGCAAGACGGAAATCGATGGCGCCGGACTTGGCCCGGCTCCTCAGCCGGGCGGCCGGGATGCCGACCCCGGGGTGTCAGTTGTGCGACAGATGACGGCGGCATGTCGTTATCAGGGCCGCATGATGCAGGTCATAAGGTCCCTCTGAAGGGGGCGTCAACCCGCGAGAGCCGCGATGCCCGCGGTGGCTGGCCAGT